AGTACAAAACGTCTTCACGTAATTTTGTAATGCTTTTGTTTGCTACTACTCTCTTTTGTCCACGTTCTGTGTTGTATTCAGAAAGAGAGAGGGAGACCACCTGTTCAAGGAGCGTTGTTGAAATTAGAACAGGACACTGGAAAGAAGTTTGTTCTTTAATGACAGCTTTTCAGCGAAACGCTTGTTACTGTCACAAACAGCAGTAATAAAAGAATAGGGGGCAAGCTTTTTTGTGTCAGAAGTGAGTCTAACTAGAGCAGTTCCTTGAATTAACAAATCTCTTTCCGGATGTTAGGGATTTGGATGGGGCAATCAAGATGTGGGGTCTACAAGAATTTAACCTTCACCTTCTGTTGGCGACGAAGATGAACCAGTTGACATTCAATTACACCCTCGACTTCTTTCATCATTTCTCAAGTAAGACCAAAGATCTTGTTCCATATTCATGACGAATTCGTCATATAACGAGACATGCATGCAACAAGACGACAGGCTACTTACGCAGAGAGAGAGAGAGAGAGACAGCTGCAAAACGGATTTCGCTCGCGGAGTCCATGCTCAAGGTCATAAGGCGAGTGTATTGTGTTTGGTGATAAATAAGCGACCGCTTCATTCCGTGTTAATTTAAATTAATCATTTATCAATAATCCTACTATTTTGTAGTTTTTTTCTAAGCTACTGACAGCATCGTTAAAAAAACCTCTTGCAAAAAGAACAGAGTAGTATATACATGCGCTAGGGACCCAGCCACTTGGATTTTGATCAACATTTTGATTTTATGTATTCCATTATTTTTGTGACATATATGAGATGTTACATATTAATAAGGAGTCACATTTGAATTTCTCCTCGGACCGGACTGAATTTTTATCTAGTTCGTAGTTTCTTTGGAAGAAACATTTTTCTCAGCTGTTTAATTACGTACTTACGAATCAATATTTATATTTATAAACCTACTAGATTTTCTGTGTTCTCTGTCGTATTTATATTTTTTAACAACAAATTAACATCAAAAGCATGTGTCACATTTAATCTTATACATCCTAATTTTTCGAAGTGGAGTTGAAACGCAACTACAATAAATCATTTTCTTGTCTTAGGTTGTTCCGAATGGGAAGTGCGTAACATATTGAATGTTTACCGATGCGTACTTATTTTAAGTAACGTCTAAACAAATTTCAATTAATCTCCGACCCTTGTTATTTTATCTGTGTTTTATTCACATTTGTCGTTCATCTACGTTCGGGCGTTTCAGTTCCACGACATAGCCCAAACCTGTTTACATACATTTATTTTTAGGTTAAAGTTGGCGGAAGTTCCTAAGCAGTTACCAGTTGCAGGGTTTCAGAGTTATTCACTGCGTTGTATGAGTTTGATCATGGGGAGACATTTTTCACAGGCTAACAGTTAACCTGTCTATTGTAGCCTTACGGGTCGTGATGATTTGTAGCCTTGTAGGTGGTTATCAGCATTTTGAAAGAATGCTGAACATGCGGCGTACACTTTCCTCTGAAACGTTCGTATTTCCTTCAAGACTAAAGGACGTCACAAACCAAAAGACCACATTTAACGTCATGACCACCTCGCACGGCTATTAAAATTTCACCACTATTTAACTTTTTTACCGACTGAACACCGGTACCATCATCCCACCACCGTTGTGTATTTCTCTCTAGGAGATAGATGGCACGTGTCACTACGTTCATGGCAGCGATTGTATATCAATGTTATAATTTGCCTTCTAATAGCCAATTTAAGAATTTCGCCACTATTGGGAAATAAGCTACAGCTTCTAATTTATGCATCTATATGTAACTTACACTTTCCTTCCGCGGCATGGAAGAAATTATGAATTCCATGTCATGAGATCATATAATAAGCTCATTTGGCAAAGAGATAATGCAAAGGCATGGTGAATGGATTTGCGTATGTTGTGTTGATGGCGAATGCAACAACAGAGGCTGTGTTGAATTTTTTGAAGACAGCGTGTAGTATAGTTGTAAATCTGTGACAGTATTTCAAAATGAATATAGTACAAATGAAAATCAGATCGTGCTTATATAGCACATTAGTTAAAGCACTTGGTAAAGGAAGGTGGGATCTAATGAGTGCTGTTTGTTTGGAAAGGAAGCCAGTGATTTCCAGAGAGATGAATGAAACTGAAAAAAACTTTTCAAAAATGCTTGCACGTATTGAGTTAGAGAACAGTCACAAAAGTGATCATGAAATGAGGTTAGAGAAGGATATGTTGCAGGCTGAGATGTTAAAGAGTAAATCGTGTGACTTAGATATAGATCTTGCACTGCAACAAACTGCACAAGACTTTGAGGATGCCTCTGTTGATGAATATAACAAATTTTTGTTTGGATCTCGAGTAACAGAAGCAGATAAAACAGATGATCTTCAGAGCCTTGTAAGGAAATTAGACAGACATTTGTTGCTTGTAGTTCAACAAAAGCAGTGGGATCAGAAAGTTTGGATCATGCCTCAAGGATTACGAATGGATGGAGAAACTATGCTACAGACAGCAGAAAGGGTACTGAAAGAACAGTGTGGTATGGATTTGACAGTCAAGTTCTTTGGAAATGCTCCTTGTGGTGTTTATAAGTATAAGTATCCAAAAAGGTTTAGAGAGACAACTGAAGAAACATCAGTTGGTGCTAAAGTATTTTTCTTCAAGGCACAGTACATTGCAGGGCATTTGGAACATAACAGACTAAAATGTAAAGAATTCAAATGGCTAGGGAGAGAGGAACTTATGTCTAGTGTACCCCAAAAGTATTACAAAAACATTAGTCAGTTTTTAATTGATGAATAAAAATGTTCTAGTTGTTTCATAATAACCATTTAAAATAATTAGGTTGTCAGCATTTTTTTAAGTTCTAGTTGAAAACATGTCGTGTGTAGCATGTATGTACTTGTGAACATGGCACAGATTTCAAACAAGTAATGCCTTATATGTATCATTTTGTGAAGTATGTATATGTGTGAAAAGTTTGTAAAACTGCTAATTTCTAAATTACAATTATGTGTGTACATTCTTTTCCCACTGTTTGGTATGAATATGTCAAATACTCATTTATTTGACAAAATTTTTAATTGCCATGGTCTGAACTGACTTTCTGAAAGACTCTTTGTGTGTGAGAGAGCTTGTGCTAGTCTACATATCAAAGTGTATATGTATGGAAGAATAAACAACTTTATAATTGCTCCTGTGCCTTGTGAAATTTCAGTCTCTACTAATGCCATAATTCCGGAAGCAAATGAAACTCTCAATTTAAATAATTTTCCCAGCATTAAAAGAGGTAATCACCAATAGGATGTTCACTCAGGCTATAGAAAAAAAAGTACTATTACAGAGTTAATCACACTGCGTAGAGACAAATTATGTTTCCTTGCATTTCATCCAGTATTTGCCATATCAAAATATTTAAAACATGAGTTGTACATGATAATGGAATCTGGATCTTTTGTAAGATAATCCATTTTCAGGCTGAAGCTCATCTAAATATTCAAGAATTCAGTCAATATCATAAAGAAAACATTTCTTCACCATTTCACAGATCATCTTATTACTGCTGTTTATTCTCAGAATTATACAAAGCCAATGAATAATAATATGGGTAAAATGCAGAGGTAGTGAATGTTAAAGCAAGTAACCCCAGTTCTTCCCCCACCAAAGTGCAAGACTGTAACTCTGTGCTGTTTCTCGTGTTCAACTCCACATTCAGTACTTTTCTTATTACTAACACATTTTTATGATATACTTGATGTGGACAAAAGTCTCCTTATATGTATATATATATATATATATATATATATCTGAAATTACATTCAGGAGAGACAAGGTACTGTCCACAGACCAGGAGAAAAACCCTGCTGGGGGAAGTCATTTCTAGGGCGGTGCAGGGGGAATGTTTACCATCAGGTGGACTAGAGGGCTGCTATTGGTGGAAAGTGTGATACGTCAGAGTTTTACTCTACTACACACAGACTGAAAACATCAAGCCGTTAAGAGTAGCGTGTAGTGAGCGCACTTGTAATGTGTTCTGCGGGTGTTGTCATAATATTCTAGATTAAATCACTGTGCCTCTGTGAGGTAATCTTAAAGCTGTACCCATTAGAACACATGAAAGTCTGTCGTCTGTTGTTCGTTCAGTGGTTGTGGAACAAATGCTTTTAGGATGGGTCGTCACTCACCGCGAAATCTTGCGCATGCGCGTATATTGAATTCCTAACAGGAGTTTTCTCCTGGTCTGTGGACTGTACCACAAAAATGAATTGGGATAGGCTATAATCTTATCTTATTTGTAATCCAGAATGCAGCTATATAATCTGCTCAGTGGAAGATTCTTAGTTGTTTGCATATGGGAAAATATATAACAAAACTGGACTCTAGAGTTTGGTACATAAAACTGATTGCAGTTTGTAATGTAGATCTTGAACTTCATAGGCTGATTGTAGTGTCAAGTTGTGCTAAAGATGGGCATTGACTTAAAAAAGATGATTCCACTCACAATCATTGAAATATCTTTGATGATGAAATAAATGTATAAGCATTCATCCTTAGTGTCTTACTAACTGAAATGGTATGCAGACATTTGGGGAGTGGAGGTATAGCTCCATGCATTCATAAATTTATTGAATAACAGGTGTGTGGTTAGCTACAGGCACCTGAAGATTCACCCTGGGGAAAGATCCCTGGCAGTCACTGGATAGGTGACTGAATGTACTGGAGTCAGCCCAGATGTTATGGAGAAAAGACTTTTGGTCCTGCTGGGAATTGATCATGCTTTGTCCAGCCTGCAGCCAAGATACTCTGCGCACTGTGCTGTCATGATTAGATTTTCATAACACATGAGGTTTGTATGTGGATCCCATTGCAATAGTTAATAGGCGTCGACGTTACAATACATTTGTAACTACATGTACATTAATTGAAAGTACAGTTTCCTTATAAGCAAGGTGATATATTTGCCTCTACTTTTGCAACCAGTCAAATGAATGAGATGGTTAAGAAATATGCTCATTAAAACTTCTTTGTATTGTGATACCTCCCAGCAATAATTTGTGTGTGAAAACATTCTTCTTTGTGGGACATCTTGATGTGAGCTATGGATTCTTGTGTAGAAGTTTTTCTGAGTTTTTATTCAGACAATTAATAGAACTCCTACTGTGCTCAGGCTTCTTTTGTGAAGAGGACAAGACAAAAAATTGTGTTAGATAAATGTTTATATCCTGCACCAAATTCAAATTCATAATCCTGGTGTTTAGGAAGTCTGAAGGCCAAATGCACTCAAATGATGCAGATAAGTGAGGTGAGCACAGTTGATTACAGTTATACAAACTCTGACTAATTGTCACATGGAAATTTCTTGCTTGTGTGTTTGTTATCAGTTCCATGTTTTCATTGTCATTGAAAATTAAATGTTCATTGTTTAAACATTTCATAGTGTCTTTATAGTGTTACTCTACTGCGTCAAGTTACAGACTTGCATTTAGGTTATGAAATATTGTCAGTTGAAAACTATTTGTATTCTTTACTGTACAATATGTCTTCTTCATGTTTAGATCATTCGACAGCCGTTTGTAGAAGACGTAATCAGCAAAAGCAAGTATGATCTGATGAAGGTAGAAATGATGGTAAGTTCTGAATTGGTTTTAAAAAGAAACAGAGGTGAGTGTTTTAATTGTAAATAGATACATTAAAATGGAATAGAAGGGTGGGTGTAAGCAATGAATGTTTATGATTTAATGCATGTTCCTACTCAATTATGATAGAAATGAGCTTGTACGTTATGTATCTATAGAGTCCCACAAAGGTTTTGCAGGTGTATAGTGTGTCTCAAATCGTTTGTTCTGTGTTCAGGCACCTATTGTAAATGGAATTAAATTTACCTATAAGTTACAGTGTCATTTCACAAGTCTTAAAATGGTTCCTCTTTGGACGATGCTTGGAATGTTTGAATAGTAAAGTTGGTGACATTTACAGTTTCTTTGTTTGTACCGTATTTACTGGAATATAAAACGTGACAGCATTAGAAATGAAACGATTTTGTTTTCCTGCGATTTGAAGTTTAGGCCTTACAAAGTAAACTCCCACAAGGCACACGAATAATTGAAAATCATGGATAATCCAAAGTATTTTGTTTGGTGTTTCCACACAAGTCACAAATCAGTACATATTTTCTGACACAATTTACTGGACTTTGTCTCTGTATCACTAGGTGTCTGATAGACTAGGTCTTTGCAGTCTTTGCGTGAGAGAACGGTTTCAACATTTACAAAAAATAAAAAAATGCTGCAAATCGACTAAAAAGCGCACATAACTGAAAAAATTTCAAAAATTTCATATTTAAATTTTTATCTTCAAAAATAGTGTCTATGACGAATGCGGTCTGTGCCTGACTTGGTCTCTTGCACAGACCGGTCTCTGTATGACACGGCTCTGACGTGACGCCTCTAAAAAGCTCTGGTGCGTCAGACAACACGTAGGGTAGAGAACCTGGCCGGCAGAGACGGAGTCCTGCACAGGCCAGTAGGTGCACACACTTAGGCAGGCAGCAACCGCGTGAGACAGAGGCCGAGTCCGGCAGAGACGGTGAGGCATTCACCGTCTCGCAGGCATCTCTTGGGGAGAGTTTA